ATCCCCGACCCTTCAGTGATGGGTGAAACCTCTTTTGCTTCCCATGTTATTCCATACTATAAATTTAAGATCTTCATTTTTTTCAAAATATATATATTTTTTCTTCTTTTCAACTAAACATTTTTAATAAAATAATATTACACGAAAATTCAAAACTTTTTTTATTTTTTAATCACATATTTTTTATTAATCTACTATTTCAAAGTGCATCATACAGATAAAATGAGGTTCAAACAGACTCTAAGATACAAAGAGGAAGTAGTTTCCATTAAATAGGACGAAAGCAAGTAAAAACCATGTGCTATATGCTTACGTAATCGATTAAACCGAGCATTCTCAATCACCACTAATTGATATCACACTTAACCCAACTTTCAAATACAGATACTTCACACGTCTCACTTAAGTTAATTCGTTCTTTTTTATTCGACTTAATAGTCGTTAGAAAAATATTTATTTAACAAATTAAGTGAGTAGTCATCGAGAATCCTCGATAGTTTTGTTGGAAATTGATCGAGTTCTCAACTTGGAGAGAGAGAGTTTTTTCCATCTTCATTTTAATAGATAACGTGCCAAAATTTTATTAGCATGCTTATTTCATTGGTTTTTAGCCGAACTAAGCACAAATATGATAGAACACGTAAGTGGATTTTTATTTTATTTTTTCTATTATCGGAGTTTAATACAGGAATGGGACGCGCAAGATGCTCATATTCAATGGTTGTAAGATAATGCTAATTATGCTTGATATGGAAGCACCGCACGTGGGTTTAATGAAAACTACGTTCTCTAAGTATCTTTACTTTTTAATAATTTTATTTTACTAAGCATGTCACATTAACGATATTTGTTACGTGTAGGAAAAAAAAATTAAAATTATGCTAGTTGTACATTTTTTTTTGTTGGCGTAGGAACTCGCAGTCACTCTTCACCAGCGAAGGCCCGACCACTGTGAGTACGCAGTAGATAAATCTCGCTCCATGTACAGTAGTCCGCAAATCATACAGAAGAGGTAAATCGCACTGTAGTACATTTTTGAATGATATTATGGATGACATTATGTGACGTGTGAAAAATAGTGCCATTGATTTGAAAGGTTGCCACCTCAAAATATGTCATCATGATATCAAATTTAATGTACTTTTGCAAAAAGTGGAAAAATCATGAAAATTTGATGTAATCGTGACCCGAATAATGAGGGAACATCAACTGAGCTGATGCTGTGTCCAAATTTTATTTCACACAATATGTGTGCTAAATGGAGAGCTAAGAAAATTCTAGAGCCACTAAAACAAACAAGATTGGCCGCGTAACGTAGCACCATTGAGGTCACGCCACACCGGATAATTATCTCATTCATTATCAAGGCCACATGGTGGGCCCATATTCTTGACGTCACGCCAAACGGCACATGACGTCTGATTATGCCAATGTTGTCGTTTAGCTGACGTCAATTGCGCAACGCCCGGAACCGGCCCCCTTTTTTTTTTGTCTAGTCAATCAAGACGGCACTGTTTGAATCATGTTATTTTAGAAAAATATATTTTGAAATAATAGATTGATGGAAAATGTGTGGTTGAAAAAAAAGGAAAAATTATTCATGTAATGTAAAATATTATTTTATTGAATAATATATAATTGAAAATGAGTAGAAGAATGAAAAAGAAAATTTAATATGGATCTTAGCCCCTGTTTAATCAAAAAATAAATATTAATCACATATTTTTATGGATCCCACAACGTTTTAATCAGACATTTCAATTTTTTTTATCAATATCGATTAAAAATATAATTTTAATCATTACCAAACAATAGTTTATTTTTAATGATGTAAAATTCATCGAAAACCGATTTAATATAATTTTGTTCGTATTCTCAATCCATCAAATTGATAATTTTTGATCATTTAAAAAAAAAAATTTATTTTCTTTTTTTTTATAAAATAATTATTTCTAGCTCACATAGTTTCTTCTCTTGTTTTTACTTTCTTACCCTTATGGTAAATAAATAATTTGTTTTATAACACACGTGAAACTATAGAAATAAAGACAAATTGAGTGATGTCAAGGATAATGTATGCAAGGGCATTTAAGGAAAAAAGAGCCAAAATGGGGTCCACATAGTTATTGTCTGAATTCGGTCATTCTAGAATATTTGATGGATTGACTAATCTTTTTATAGACCATAAATATTTCATGTAACATCTTTTTTTGACTAACAAATGTAAAAGAAGAACACTAAGAATATTGATTAATCATTTACATACCTCGCGTTTTGGTATTCATGTTCCCGACCTTTTAAAATTATAGACTCGTATTCTCAATTAACAGAAAGCGTGGTTTGGAACATTAAATATTCACATTACACTCAAGTGATTGATTACTGTAACAATAAAATTGTCCAAAATGATTTTTTTTTTTTTTAATTTCAAAAGAACTAAATAATGGCTTCAACTTTTCGTTAAAAAAAAATCTAAATTAGGGTATATTTTTCGTTGTTTATGTAACATACCGTTTTGCTTTAACTAATCCCGACATCACTTTAGTATGACATGAACATTTGATGAAATTTGTCGCTTGCGAGCCCAGTGGATAGGGTAAAAAAATTTCATCATTGATGCGGTAAGATGATCTTACTTATATAGTTTTCTGAAATTGAAAGAATCGTAGGGAAGGCTCCCTTGTCACATTAGCAATGAAAAGTTTGTATTCTGTCTACAGAGGATAAGAGATTGGGCTAGAACATGTAAACATAAAATAAATGATTAGTTTGGGACATAAATATTACAATTGTAAAATATCGAGAGTATCACCACAACGAATGATAGGTTGGGGACCATGGGTGCCACAATTGGTGGTTATCCATGTTAGCATTTACCCTAATTTCTTAACAAGTAAATTATTTATTTTTTACAGCAAATAATAATAATAATAACTTTAATGTTTATAAAAATAGGAAATTATTATTCCACGAGAAGGGGGCTGATTTGAGTGGACCACAGGGCGGTGGTGACATAAAAAAATCCCACCATTTGCACCGCGTGAGAGTTGAGAAATCGTAATTTCGTTGACGGCAGGACTCTCTCTCCCCCAACCCCACCTCTCCTCCTATCTATATATGTACATGACACACAGAAATCGATACATATCATCATTATATCATTCAAGAAATTAAGTGCAAAACCATGCAAGAACCAATTCTATACAGAAACTTGCTACTCCAACAAAACCCACAAAACCTAAGGAATCCCAATCCCAACCACGTTGAAGGAATCAAAGAAAATGCATCATCACTTTACGATATCGGTGATTTGAAGAACATGGTTAAGGATAATGCAGTGATTGTGTTTGGCAGAAAAGGTTGCTGCATGAGCCATGTAGTCAAGCGTTTGTTACAAGCTTTAGGTGTGAATCCGGCAGTGTACGAGGTTGATGAAGTAGACGAGAATGAAGTTGTCGTTGAGCTCGAGGGGATTGATGCCGAGGATGGGAAAGAGGGTTCGATTCAGTTTCCGGCGGTGTTCATCGGAGGCCGGTGGTTTGGAGGGCTGGAGAGGATCATGGCTACTCATATTACAGGAGAGTTGACTCCTCTATTGAAGCAAGCTGGCGCCTTATGGTTATGAATTATGATTTGATTTAATCTACTTTTTCTAACTGTTAGTGCATTTCTATTTTCTAATTCATCGTTTTTTTTCTCTTTTTCCTTGTTTTCGTTCTTAATTAATAAATGGACGAAGGAGAATGAAAATCTTGAAAGGCCAGGTCCCTATTTTGTTTGAATAAAAATTGTTATTTTTATTTTTTAGTAAATTTCGATAAAAGTTGATGAAATATGTGAGTAAAATGTTAATAAAAGTTATAGGTTCTATAAAAATGTAATTGAAAATGAATTTTATGCATTTCGTTAAAAGTTGATTTGAGTTTGAATTTTAATTCTAACTCGAACAGGAATAAGTTTATTTATTTTTTTATTTCAAGACAGTTAATTCAAACATGTACTCGAGTAATCAAGTGAGACATGAAGTTGCCTCAATTGGTTAGAGCATTTTGTTACTCGTAATTTCTAATAGTTGGTACAATAAACCAAGTGTAGTGTGAGGAAGAGAAGTATCTCAAGTTTGATATCCAAGAGGACTAAGTTAATAAACCCCGGCCTTAGGGAAAAACAATTTCTGGGTTAAGATGCGTTTGAATACTTAGTCTCTGTTTGGTCATATTTTTTAAAATTCATTTTTCTCAAACTTATTTTCAACTATACATCTCATGAGATGAATAATTTTTTTCGACTTTTTAACTATATATTTTATCAACTTATATCAAAATTTACTTTTTAACTAAACGAAATAAGGTTTTAATCTCGCCCTATTATTTCCCTGCGCGACAAACGTCTGATAACCTAACATTCTTACTATATAAAGTCACACTCAATCGTATCTAATGCACATAGAATAGTCTACTGACAACACCCCATCTGCTAATCTTCATTCCTCGGAAGAATGGTCAAGTCACTTTACTGAATCGGCTTAAGTTTAAGCTTCTCTCTCTCTCCCACGCATGGGACAGATTCATTCTTTTCACCGAAAACTTTACATTTATAATGAACCCAGAAGAAAATTAAACTCTGCTTCGGGATGGGGCTAAAGACAGAATTAGAAAATGTTATTATTTTATTAGAGAATGTGTGATTGATAAAAAGAGGGGGAAAAATGAAATTTAATTTAATGAGGTCCACACATGAGCTTTGCCTTTGGTGCTGTTTCTTTCCAGTGAGGAAGGACCGCTTTGCTCCGTACCTGCTACCTTAAATACTGATATAAGTAGATGAGATGACATCCAATGCTGGACCATTCAGCAGTGCTCTCAATTCACTGAGATCTCAAATTTTGAATTTGTGATATCTTCAACACCCTGGTCCTGGATCCCAAGAAAGACAAGGTTTCCTGGTACGGAAAAATTTATTGTTGGCAACAACTCATAACTAGAAATAACTGAAAATATTAAAAGCAATGAAAAGTAGCTCATGAATCAGTAGATAAACTACATTTCTATTTGCAAAATGCATATAGAGATCCGCATAGAATTCTTACATTACCAGCAATAGTTCTCGGTCATCACTTTCCTTTAGAGTTTTGTAGGATGGATACAATTGATTTTGAGACTCATTTAGAAAGACAATAAGCTGACCTACAATAAGTAGACGATGACAATCACATCATATCTAACCATGAATCAAAATCAAAATCAAACTCATAGCCTTCAATCCTGAATCCGAAGCGGAAATAGTAACATTCTGGTGGTGATAGAAGCATATTTTCTTCAAAAGTATGATAGAAAGATGAAGCATTGGAAACTATTTCAGCTGGACATGTACCAAGTGAAGGTTGAGCATTATCCTGTTTGACATTAAATTTATCCAAGTCATAAGCTTTAGAATAGGCAAAATGCAAAAAGAATAAATTGATATACTTCACGCTCATAGTTCAGAAGGAAATTATCGTGTGAATTCTGAACTACGCAATCCTGTAAATTAGTTCTTTCGTAGAATGAAATTTTATTCCAGGATTATTCCTTAAATAGTAAACTGACCCCTGCCCACCTGTGTCTTCTTTTTATATTTTTAAGTCCTTGAGATTACATCAATTCCTTTTCAGATCTCCAAAAATAAGTCTCAGGCTCTCAGCATTGGCAGTCCAAGAATAAACTATTCTCTCTTTAGATTAACATTTGTTACGTATAACATGAAACTTAATATCAGCAATCTCCACTGGTACCACTGATCTGTTGTACAAAGATTCTCCAATATCTTGTCTGGGAAATACATTAATTAGGCAACTATGACCTAATACAAAGAAGTAAAAAACCAATCACTATTTGTTATTAAAATCACCTTTACTAATAGACAGTACTGTCAACTCATACTTTGAATTTATCAATTTTCTGTTGTGGGACGAGGGTGGGAGGGTCACATGGTTTCTTTATAGTATGGCAACGATTGAGAACTCTGCAAGGCGTTAAATTCAACCCATCAAGAGTATGATGTGTAGCACTCTTGACAGGTATACAAAATAATTTCAAATTAGGCCTTAAACCTGAATGTAAGAATGGTTAGAGCTCTACATTTAGCTCAAAGCTCAGCAAGGACATGTAAGGATATACATTCATTTTCATGGGCCGGATGAGCGGAGAAAGGGAGTTCCCTATTATTAATAACACCAGTAAAAAGCATTTTGATAGCCTTAAACTTGAATGTAAACATGGTTAAAGCTCTGCATTTATCTTAAAGCCGGATCTGTAAGGATACTCATTCATTTACATGGGCCCAATGAGTCGAGAAAGGTAGTTCCTTATTATTAATAAGGCATTTTGATAATCACTCGTGATGATACTAGTCCAATAGACCGAAATTATGAATAGGCAGAGACAAGATAAAACCAGAAATTAAATTGGACCACACAAACCATGCATTAAGCCAATCAATTGGACCATGTCCAATTGAGTCTTTTTAGGAATTGATTGTGATTTGTGAATATTAATACATGACATGCATTAAGCCAATCAATTGGACCATGTCCAATTGAGTCTTTTTAGGAACTGATTGTGATTTGTGAATATTAATACATGACACGAAATGAAAGAATGGAAAACCAAAACTAAACAAGTTGTTTTTTCCATTAAAAACTTGAGTAATAAAAGGAAAACCCCACCTAAATGCACACATGTGGGCCTAGGCTCCCACGGCTATATCATCCAAAAAATCTCAAAGATAATGAAGAGAAGAAGACTTAAAAGACACCTCAAAGTCATGCATGCACGCATATTTTCTCCTGTGCAGTAGGATTATTGCCTTGCTAGGATGTATTAAAAACCAAATCAACATAACCTTCATATAGTTTTGTTCTCTTTGCTTCCTTGCTTTACATAGTTCAATAAGACTTAATAGACATTTTCAATATAATGTAGTTTTTACACCAAAAAAATGCCAAGTGTTTATTGCCATTATCCTAGAAATAAAATGGCCAAAAAGACTAATGGCTACAAGATCACAAGTTACTATTACTCTGATATTCATATTTCATTTGATGAAAAAAATGTGTTCAAGAATAAATGAGACACATTGAACAGACTATTTACTCCAAAAAAAAATAAGGGAAAAAAAAAAAGGAATATACATCCTCTATAAAGGGGTTAACAATGCCTTTAAAAATTCTCCTAGGCCAATACATTGATCTCATATCCATAAGTAGAATTCACTAAAATGCGCATCCGTAGCTACCAAGTCTAACCTCCTTCTATGACAACCATGTGCTGAAGCTTCATACTTTCAGACAAGTACCACTCTCTCCAACTTTCTATTAGAACTTCCATAGTGGAAGGCATAACTCAATCCCTCCATATCAGTTAAAATAACAGGTTTCAACGTTCAACTGCCAGATTAAATCAGCAAGGAGTAGTGCACATTTTCCCAGCAGTTCCACACATTTAACGCAAGCTAAAATGAGTTCTCCTCCAAGATCAACAGTCAATACAAAACATAGTAAGGTGCAATCTCCTCACTGTTATATATCAATGATTTTCCATTATTCTTGGCAAATATGCTAGCTTGGTATTGGTATTGGTATAGGAGACAATCCAGTCTAAGAATACCAATTTTCTTCTTGTACTGGAATCAATTGCTAATAAAATATTAAATATCCAATGAAACATTACATCTGAGTTAAGCTCAAACAATGTGAAATCATGCATAACAGAACTAATGTTAAGAGAGAAGCTGACTAGTGTTACTAGCACACAGAAAGTAACAGATAATGTGAAAGAGCACTTGGAGATTTCACCAATAACATTTATGATGTAACAATTATAAATTATATTTTTTATGATGTAAAATTCTCATATTTAGCAAAGTCACAATAGTCAATTACACGTACTGAGATAAGCCCTGCCAGTCATTCAAATCATTCAATATGCTTGCAAAATCAGGTCATCCTCATTCACGAGGCAGATAATGATTGCAAAAAGAACCAAAAAACAAGTTACTCCACTCAATAACAGCTATTTCTTTAGCAACATAATGCGTTGTTACCAATAAAAAAAAAAAAAGGAAAGTATGCAGATTGCCAAAGTAAAGGTTGCAGCATAATAGCTAAGCCAACAACACTTGAGTATGGGTAATGGACAATGAGTAAGTATCTTTCACAAGTAAATGATCAAATTTTAAGGCCTGGAATTAAGTCAAAGAAGGATATGGTATTGAACATAAAATTCCAAATAAGCACAAGCTAGTATAAGAATGCTTTAAGGTTTTCTAAGTAATAGGGAAAAAAATAAATGAGAGTAATGCATTTTGAAGTAATAATACACGTTATAATTTAGAAAACAAATCTTGTTGCTATTTAATTGTAGTTCCATCTTAGCGCTAGGGACTTGTATCATGAGCCAACGAGTTGTGTCCATTTCCAAAGAGTCAAACATTAATGGATTTATTGTCAACAACAGGTACATTATGGTAACAAAAGTATTTGAGCAGCGTGGCATAGAAGCATACTAAAATATCTCAAAATCTTAGTACATAATTAGAAAGTAGCAAAGCATTTGATTCTAGTTCCTCTTCTTACTCTATGAACTC